CACCTCAACGGCTAAATAGCCGTTTGAGGTGCCCCACTAATTTTTTTTCTCTTTTTTGCAGGTTGGAGCCGTTGGGATGAACAAAAGAAAAAAAAAAGGAACCGGGTACCGGAACCGGACCGGTACCGGCGGTACCCGTACCAAAAAATAGGTACCGGAACCGGTACCGGTACCGGTTCCCGGAACCGGTGACACGACGGCGACGGCGGTAACGGTGGCGGGTACCGGCGGTACCGTTGCCGGTCACGGTACCGTACCGGTACCGTGTCCACCCCTAGATGCTAGTTTTATTGGATCATCTAACTTTTTGTAGTTCATTACTAGGACGAATTCTGGCGCAGAAAATCTCTCAGGCCCGTCTAAATAATCGGCCCAATTAGGTGTCGCATTATTCCATGAGAAATGCTTGGTTCACAAACACAATGGTCACAAACTTCACAAACTTACATGGAAGTTTGTGAATTTCAATGGAAAAAATTACATGATCTAAAATGATTTTAAAATAAAATTTTAAATCATAAATAGTAAGTTTGTGAAGTTTGTGAGTATTCTATTTCTGAACCTATTCCATTCATTTGCGTGCTCCACACATGTACATGGCAGTCCACACCTCCAGTCTAGCCGTTAACAAAGTCCCCACAGCCTTTCAAAAAATCCGACCGTTAGCCAGAAATCTAAACGTTAATGCTTTTCTATAGAGAGACAAAACCCAGTATTTCTTGCAATTCATCAAACCCGGAAAAACTCCCAAACCCACAGACAATCAAACGTCTATTCGTTCATTCTTACACCAACCAATATAGCCTTCAGGCCGTTTCTCTTCTGATCGGAGATATATATAATATCTATATTCATCAATGGCGGGGGAGGAAGATCCGAGTGTGTTGGTAGTGGATGAGGCGTACGAGTTCTCCGCTCCTCGGTTCTATGATTTCGTCTGCGGCGAGACTCGAGAGGACGCTGAAAAGGCGGAACTTTGGTTCGAATCGGCACGCAGCTATGCTCCTTCTCGTATGTTCTCACTCGTCTGGTTTGATTGATGTTTATTTTTTACGTTAAGTTCCGATTCCGAACTTCGTGTGTGGTTGAATTTAGGGTTTGAGGGATTCAACGGATTTCCTTGACATGTTTCTGCGCCTCAGATGGATTCATGAATTTAGGGATTGAGAGATATTTCTATGTCTGATTCTAGGGTTATGCCATCTTCGATTTCTTGTTCATATCTGCATGTTCTGTTATGTTGGTTTTTGGGATTGATTTTTTATTTTGGCTGTCAAATTTTTCAGCTTTGATGCCGAGGATAAAGGCAAATAGATTCGCCAAGCTTGAGAGTCTGTGTGATTTGACTGAAGGAGAAGAGATGAAGAAGGTAGGATTAGGATTGTACTCTATGACTCATGTCTTTACCTTAGTTCTGCATTTCAACTTAAATGCAAGAATCAACTGACTCATTTAAAAAAAAACAAAAATTCAGGGCCAAGATTCAATGTCATCTTCTGTCGCATCCTCACACACTCCAAGTGAAACAGGGTTGGTGCCAACAGACCAAACGAGGTCAGTTGCCATTATAGAGTAGAATCCAAGCAAAATGTATAAGTAAAATGAATTTTGACTGAATGTACTTGACCTGTGTGAATCAGGACTCAATCTGAGCCTGAACCAGTCCAACTTCAGGAAGAAATGGCTGATCATCTTGTAGTTAAAGAACCTGAATTGGTATGATGTTATGCTCCATCCTTTAAGTATTCCATTGATGTTCTTCGGTTTACAACTTTTCTCATTACATCTCAACAATTCAATTCGCAGGCACCATGTGACACGCAGCCTGTTGTTGTTCCAGAGAAGCCATCCTCTCTACAAGGTATGTTCCACATTTTGTCTGTCAACATGTGTAGAGGCTTGTGAGATCACTTGACTAACTCATGGGATTACTTGATGCAGGAGCATGCACACCTCTACCACCTAAAGCAACTTCTCAGAAGGCAGTTCAGCAGAGTGATGCAAAGAAGCTCCAGACGGCCAAGAAGATTGCAAGCATTATTAGGAATCCTTCTGTATTGAAATCGAAGACCCAATCACAGATGAAAAGTATCAATCCAGTTAGCGCAAGAAGGTTTGAACCAATGCGTCTTAGTTTATATTTGCTCTCATGGTTTCTTTGTTTGTTGTATATTGAATGCTGATTATATCAATTTACATTCTTGCACAGGAACACAAACATGAAAATGACCTCAGAGACTCCAAATTTTGTTCAAGAAAATCAAGCTATAAAGAGGCAAAAACTGGAAGGGGGGAAATCTAGACAGGTGTGGGCTCTAAAAATGTTTACCTTGCGCAAGCCTTTTCCCCCAATGTTCTTGTGTTCCTAATCCAGTCTGTTCTATTTGTTCTCACATTTCCTTAGATCCTAAACATCAAATCCCTAAACTTGCCTCACAAGTCAAGACCCGGTATGCCTAGCAGCAATATCAAAGCACACCCTCATACTGCTACTTCATGCAGAGAAAACAGAAAGGTTAGTCTACACTTCTCCCTCTCTTTTTTTCCCTCTTTAGCATGACATATATATGGATAATTATTCTGAAACTATGGTTCATATTTGAATTTCTGTATGTCAGATTTATGTTCGAGAACCAGTGGCCCCATTTGTTTCAATGGCGGAAATGATGAACAAGTTCCAGTCCAATACTAGGGACATGTCACTGCCACACACGAGTTGTGCAATGCCACAAGTAAATATACATTATTACCTACTAAATGTGTGTCTAAGCGTTTTCTGGTGTACAGTTTTCATTAATTCTTTGTAAAAACAAATCAGGATGGTGTGGCTGGATCAGTGCAAAGGAAGCCTAAGCTCACACTTACAAGGCCTAAAGAACCTGAACTTGAAACATCACATCGTTACCGTCCTGTAAAACTAAAGAGCTCGGCGGAGTTAGAGGAAGAAATGATGGCAAAAATTCCCAAGTTTAAGGCTCGGCCTTTCAATAAAAAGGTATCACAGTTTAAGTGACTCCCCCC